ACTAAGAATTTGGTTTTAAAAGTGTTTATACCTAAATGCGAATATGTAAACTAACCTAGAAAGCAAGTAAAATGATCAATGGCTACAAGTATGGTTGCATCGGGAATTACACTCAAGTAACGATCCAATGTATTTCATGATTTTGCAAATATGAGCGAGTTTATGTTAATTAGCCACGGATAATAATTCTTAATTAGCTTCTTCCGAAGACTAAAAAGACTTCCTAATTGAATTATCCCTAAAACAATTAAGAGATTAAGCACTCCCGGATATGGCTACAAGTAGTTCAATCCTATCCCTTGGTAGAATCTATAAAATGAGGGTTAACGCCTCAAATTCTTGTTAATTAATCTTTCCCAACCCCAAATTATCTTTTCCAAAATTAATTCGGAGTTAATGGGCGAGTCCTAGGGTTAGCTAATCTCTTTGAAAATATTAAAGAACGAGAATAATTAAAATAACAATAACTCACTTCATAAAAGAATAAAAATCATTCAATACATAAGCACAACAAGGTATTTAATCCACACTTTAAATATGAGTATTTCCATAAACAAGATTCAAGTGTTGGAAATAAATACTACACACTTAAATATTCAATACAAAACAAGGAAATGAAGAAATAAATATAAATGGGTAAGAAATCCTTAACCAGAAGCTTCAAATCTTCAAGACCCAAGTGTGTGTGCGAACCCTAGCTTCAAGACTTGTTCTTCTCTAGTCTAAGAACTCAAAATATGCTAAAATTGTTTAGATCTTTGCCAAAGATCTTTTACAAATGAGCTGGTTTGGGTATTAAAGGGTTTGGGACCAAAAAATGTGAAGTTACAAAATTGCCCAGTTCTGGAACACGATCTTCGCATTTGCGAACAAAGGTTCGCAATTGCGAAGCATGGCTGTACTGTGCACTATCGCATTTGCGAAGAATGGTTCGCATTTGCGAAGAATGCCTATACTGCTTCCTTTCGCATTTGCGAAGGTTGACTGCTTGAGTTGACTTCTCATTTGCGAAGTCTTCTTCGCATTTGCGAAGACTGCCTTGATCGATATGCTTCGCAATTCCCAGGATTTCCTCGCAATACCCAAGTCTGCCATCTTTGCATTTCCCAAACTTTTGTGGCAATTGCGACCACTGAGGGCATTGCCCGGATTTTCCTCTTTTTAGCTTCTTTTTTATTTGTTTCACTTGGTTTCTTCAACATCACCTCTAAATCACATAGAACCTGTAATATAGAAGTAAATGGCATTAAACACACGATTTTATCACTCAAACATAGCAAAAAGATAGGCTTAAAGACAAGATAAGTTGGAAAAATACCAACTTATCAAACCCCCAAACTTAAACTATTGCTTGTCCTCAAGCAATGAAAGCGACAAAATCACCTCCCAAGTAGTTAACTCAACAATGCATCCATATCATGCCAAGCCAAATTTTTTTACTATAAGCACAAAAACAAGACTTTGATTGGTACCAACAATTACTCCGAAGCATATGAATTATCAAGCACTTCTCATGAACTTCATTACACTTCAAGTGCTCAAACACTAATGCAAATCAAAGTAGCAATCAAGTCATGACACTAAAGCTTCAAAATTTGCCTCTCTATCACAATCAACTTTCTTTGGTCATTCCTTCCAATTGAAAATGGGATTAAATTCACAACTCAAATCTTATGTGCCCTCACATTTAAGAGAGGATCCCACACTCATAAATCTTAATTCAAAACACAAATGGGATATCAAATGGAAAGAATTAACTCTCTCTCAAAAAGATGTTCAAATGCATACAAGTAGTACCATAGGCTTGCCCTTCATGTATACCTCCACTAATGTAGACAACTTGGTTCAAAATCAATTAGGACTTAAAGGGTTGCAGCTTAGGCTTTTGGTTAAGATAGGGCACAATTTTGGTTAAAGTGACTCAAAACCTCCCCAAGCAATACAAAATTTATAAGAATATTTTAGATCAAAGTAGCGATTTTCATGTTGGCACCCCATCAACAAGTTTAATGGAACAGGGGCACAGAGCCACAATATAAGTTACGCGTTTGACATAATCCAATAGCTTTGGGGCAAGCACTGTATTTGTATTAAAAAATAAACTTAATATGTATAAATAATCTATCCTGAATGCAGTAAGCAAAAAGAGTTATAATTCAGAATCCATAAACCTAAAGGACCAATGATTTACAACGACTGGCTGCTAATAGAAATGATCGGGGTTTGGCAATGACTATACATCAATCCCAAACTAGGTAAGGCTGACTATATGAATCCTCTATATCTATTTCATTCGGATCCATTTTATTCCATTGCTTGTAGGTAATTTGTGTTCGTCTTTAAAACATTAGAGGTAATCTAAATCTAGAGGGACATCAAAAAAAAAAAACTGAGCAAGGGACATTGCAATACAAACAAAACCAAAAGCATGTACATGGACTCACAAATAGAGTCGAGGAGCCTCTAAGAGTATGTATCAAAATACATCAACTGTGCGGGATGTAACCCACCTATGCATAAAGAATTAGAATAATTTGAAACGCCACCACACAATCATAGGGGGGGTCACCGGTAGAAGCAAATGGAGTGGTGTATACAACTTGAAGCGTCTAGAGGGATGACTAAATCTGTAGGGCATGAAAATAAATGGAGTAAGAAATTTAATTGCCACCCATGGAGCCACCTCTAAAAGTTGGTACAAGTGTTTTATAAGAATCAACATATGCAATAATCGTGATGCTTGTATATCTCGTGAAGTCATTGATAACTCGTATACTTTACATCATAGCTTAGCAAGCTATGGGAGCACCTAACAGTCCATAGCTACTTAAGCTCTCACCATGAACTCATTGTACGGGCAAAAGACAGTCAACAACGGCTGAAAGTTGCCTAAAGCTCTAACCAAACTGTGCGAGCACCAGATGGTCCATAACCTGTTTATGATGCTAAAGTAATTACATGCAATTATGCATGTCATAGAACTTATATGAAAGTTTATAGCAAATTTACCATCTCAAAATACATTTATTGTATAGTTCCCATGCATATGCTCATCCCCACATAGACTTTCTCACCGATAGTCATAGAAATCATCATTTAAAACACTTACCAAGCATATATCATGCATGTTCAAGCCCAGTTGTCTCCTAACCGAGTAACCGTAACCCTAAATAGGAAGTCATTTATTTACAAGAGATTGAATACAACACCTCCTAATCCTAGGCTAAAGTAGATCACTTATTTACTATAGATCTATGTCTTAAACCTCGCACTAACCTTAGAGAACCGCTTTTGTACTAAAGCTTTGATGCAATATCGCCTAACTCTAACCCTAGAAAATCACTTAACAAACAGGATTAAATGCACTACCGCCTAACCCCAACCTAGAACCTAGAAATTCATGTATCTTACTAACCATAACTGTAGATGATGACTTAATATCTTACTAGAACTTAAATGCACTTCCTCTAAACCGTAATCATAATCCTTGAAAGTACTTATCTACAAAGAGCTCGAATGCACCGTCTTAAAACCATAATCTTAACTTGAATAATCACTTATGTACTAGAGTTCAAGCACAATATCCTGATCCTAATCTTATACCTAGACAATCAATTATACTACTTATTTTCAAGAAGTGAAATATCGTTTTCTAGATAAGTATCTCGATATATTTAATTTACAGGAGGTGCGCAAGACTAGCCAGGAAACCTAACTTGTAGCCAACAAATCCGATACTCAACAAGTTTCGCATATCAGGGTCAATATAATGAAGTAAAATGTGCTTTTCCAAAAATGTGATGTCTTTAGTGATCTATTTACACTATCAGATAATTAATGCTTTCACAAATAATAGATCGTTAATGCTTACAAACATCACTATCTACTAGAGCTTATATGTACCACCTCTTGACCCTAGCCTTAATCTTTGGCAATCACCTATCACTATAGATGTACAACCTCAAATATTTAATACTTGAACATTGGTTTTCAGGAAAAACAAAAGAAAGAAAAGTACTCAAGATTCTTACTACTGGGGTCTTTGATAATGATTGCTTTCTTTCTTTCTTCTGCATCTCTTTCTTTGGATTTAGCAGCAAGAGAATAAAAATACTTGTTTATTTTGTATTAGACCTAAACAGAATGGGATGCATATAAAGAGTCTGTATAGTCGAGCCAACTAATTCGGAATTTAGTCCTTGTTCAACAATCAAATGGCAAGGATTCATCAGTCTAATTTCACTAATGATCACTTAACTTTTACTTTATTGCACAAAGTTATTAAACTAATTTTGTAACGAAAAAGTCACTCATCTTTGTCTAAGTATCACTAGAGGTAATAAGTATTTCTTTTGTAACCAAAAAGACACTCATTTTTGCCTAAGTATCATAGAAATAATATTATGTCCACAATCACCAAGTCATCATTGTTTCCTTCTAGTGACTTTCTATAATACTTACGCAACGTTGAGTGACCATTTTTGTAGCAAAAAGATAATTTAGTGACTTTGTGTGATACTTGGATAAGGTTGAGTGACTGTTTCATTACAAAAATAGTTTGGTGACTATGATGCAATAAAGAAGAAAGATGAGAGACCATCCATGAGATTATCCCGATTATCATCTATAGCTATGCGAATGGAGGAAGATTCAGCAAAAATAGGTCCAACTATAAATGACCCTCTTCACCACAACGACCATCCAACAAGCCCATGATTGGAATTAGTCACTTTCTATCAAAGTTTTAGAGCACAGCAACTGATTGGTAAAGAACTATGATAGCTATTGTCAGTTGATGTGCTATATTTTTTCCTTATCAAAAAACATATAGCAAAGCAACTGATAATAGCGATCATAGTTTTTTTACCAATTATGTAAGCATTTATCGACCAAGTATAGAGTTGACACAACTACTAACTAACATTATTTTCTTCTTTTAATGGAGGGAGAAGGAGGCCGCCAAACCTATTTATTTGATTAACAATCTTTTATTTTAGTTATCCTAGTTGAAAGTATCTTTCCATGAATATCTGATCTCAAAGTATACAAGTTTGTAGTTCAACGGCGAAAATTTTTTTGTGTGTGTAAAATATATAGATATACAAGGACACAACATGACAGGGAGCCATATATAAAGCAAGCATATACATATACCTTCCGGCAGGAATCTTTTCAACACTGATATTTAAATTAATGTCAGTTTTTAACCACCTTAATGCAAATTTATATTTTGTCTACAAGGAAAGTACCTGATCAGACCATTGATAACCAATTAGAATCCAGACTCGACCCCAGAGGCTTTGGGGTACCCATCGTACTCCAGTCTAATGTTCAGCGTTGCACAAATAGCTTTAAATTTCAATCTCAAGGAGTCAGTAATCTCAGTGGCGGACTCGTTCTCTGGGTCTGAGAAGGGATACTTACAAAGCAATTCATCCATCTGTTTGATGCCTTTCTGCACTCGGGATGAGAAACAGGTTGGCTCTGCTGCGATTGCAGCATTCCAAACATCAATACAACCTCTGTAAAAACCCAATTCTTCGCCTACTTCAAACCCAGTTTTGAGTCCCACCTGGTTGCCTTCATCTTTACCAGAGGCTAGGCCATCTGAATAGCCTTGGGAGTAGCCTTCTTTGTAATGAGTGTCCTCTAGATTCAATGACGAGTCAAAAATGTCTTCAACTGAATTAGCGCTTTGAGAACTCATGGATGCTCACCAAGCATGTCAAATGTTGGAATACTTTGTTGGAGAAGAAAACCTGGAACAGTGAGATGTTAGTTGTTAAATACCACTTGAAATAAGGTAGTGGAATCCAAACTTGGCAAGACTGCCCAAAACCCTTTCCATTATAACAGAATCTGATAATCCAACATATTTTGGTTCAGCAAAAATTTTCCAGCAAATACAGTTTGGACTGTAAAAACGGCGTCACTTTCAAAGCAATAGAAAAGATAAATAATAAGTGCACAGAGATGCCCAAAGGCTGACTTAGCAAATACCACCAAATCATTATATACATTAGAACAATATTCACCATAATATCATTATATACATTAGGCTGAAGGTCCATTTTCTTCAAAAGAGGCATTACAAATATGTGAAAAAAAGAATTTCCATAGACACCAGGATTAGATTTTGGAGACAAAGATGGCAGGGGAGATGCTATATTCTGCTAGCAAAAGGAAGCAGTAGCTCAAATATATGGGGAGCAGGAAGGGGACTTCTGCAGAAACAATATCAGAAGAAACTTGCAAGACCAGAAGATAATAGAATTTTATTGTCTGGTTGCATATCGGCTATGGTCTAATACTGTGGAGCAGGACTGGAGTTGATTGGGTAATGCCTGCCAAAATTACAGAAATTATCTCATGACGGAAACTCATGAGGAAAGGACGAGTACATAGAGCATTGGATGCAGGCACTTCAATGGACTATTTCATAGAAGACTGGGTGTCTTGGAAAATTTTTGGAGCACCTCTACACTGTGATAACTATTTCATAGAAGACTGGGTGTCTTTTTTAGAGGATCATGGTTTTACAAAACTTTTTCTATATTAATGCTTGACATGTAATTTTCTTTCCTTTTGTATGCATCTCATAGCTTTATCTTTAATTGCCACATCTTATCCATCAATGGAAATGATAAAAAAGAGTATGTTACTTCATTTAATATAATGAATATCTTCCTCAATAATCCTTTCAGCTGGCTTGATCTGGAGCTTATGTAAGTTGAAGTAATAGGTTACTAAGAGTAAATCGATTCCAAAGACTCAAGGTTCAGTATCTGTGAATAACATATCTACATTGCTCATCTTTTAAGTTGGACAGCTGAATTCTTCCAATGTTTCCTAAAATGTTGAAAACTTTCAACTTTTTTCTATACTTAGCTATACTTTCTCCTGAGTCCTGAGCACCATAAATAATTATTGATTCAGAATACCGACCTGTTGATAAGGACACAAAGCTATGGGACAAGACTAGAATGGAAAGAAAGATGCAAAAAATAAACTCCATCAATTCCAATTTATATGCCATTTCTTTCATTTGGACGTCTCAAAATTTTTGATACCATTTTAATCATAATAATATTCTATACTACTTTCAACTTTTAAGAATTAACATTCATTTAATTACTCAGATTTAAACTTCGATGTGAGGTTTTGTCTAACAAACTAACTTTTCTATCATCATTTTAATAGTTTCTTCTGGCTAGTAACATAAAATATAAGTTTACATCTTAAACTTCATATCGAGTCTGAAACCACTGTAGGGGACGGAAAGAGCAGAAACATCAAATCCCTAAAACTCTATGGAACTAATGGGAATTAGGAAAAGGGAATTGAAAAGAAAGAGCCAAGCAGAGAAGAATCTGAACATTTCTTTCAAATTTCAAATTATAGATAGTTGATTAATCTAGCAACTTATTTTAGTATGCTAGTTGTGCATCACATGTGCACTGAGTCTATAAAAAGATAATGGTTGTATAGCATTCAAATGTAAAATGCAACTAGAAAATAAAGTAAAAAGTGGAGGAAAGACAATGGTGAATTAAAACATTAGAAGAGTTTCATTGTTAAAAGTCATCCCTTCATTGCTTACAGGGCCGGCTCTAATGTAGATCCAAATAAGGCTTTTGCCTTAGGCCCCCAAATTTTGGGGGCCTCATTATTTAGAAATAATAGATTTATAGGTATTTTAAAAAAATATTTAGTTCTTCTCGTATAAAAGTAGAATTTTTTTATAACAATTGTCTCAAAGAAAAAGAAGTTTTCAAGATTATAATTGATAAAATCTTACCTAAGATTAACAATGTCTCAAGATAGATTAAATTTGTTGCCTTATTATTAATTAAAAAGGAATTATTAGAGTAAATCGATTATAAAATATTATTAACAATGTTTATAAAATAAATTAGGCCTCACATTAAACTTTGGCTTTAGGTCACACATATGTTTGAGCCGCCCCTGGTTGCTTAAAGCAATGAAACCATGCAAAGCAAGGGGTTATTGCTTCAAGTGCTTCAAACAATGGTGCACAAAGTGATCTAAGGAGAAACGGTCGATTATTTGAATCTCAACATTGAGGAGTTAGATTAATATCGCCATTACAGTTTATTCCATACTGAAATTAGGTATTTTAATTGCCATTTGATCATTACAGTACTACATTCATGCTATAATTGGTACTTATTTAATGTCGTGAATCGTGCGCTTCACTTCTCGATTTCCGCTTCAACCCCCATGGACCTATTAGTGAAACAAAATTATGTCGAAAAGCATTTAAATTTGAGTCTTAAAATGGCCAAAGCATATTCTAGGTTTGTATAATTCTAGTGTTTCACATACAGATTTCTAAAAGTTAAAACATCACTACAGCAACAACTACCCCTAAATCCTAAACAAGTTAGAGTCAGCTTGCCTCGACCCTCCTCCCTTATCCAAGCTTGGCACCAGCAATGTGAGAAATCTCACACTGGCAAATTGTTCGATTTATCACTCGAAAAAAAATAAGAAAAAAGGAAATAACTACAGGACATGAACCACAATTGGATAAATAAAACTGAAAAAAATGTGTAGAAAGCAAAGCCAATATTCTTTGTCCAATAGTACCAAGAGATTGAAAATCAATGCAACAGTAGCAAAAGTTAACCGAAAAAATTGGTAGTACCAAAATTTATTGAACAATATCGGCACAAAAGTATTAACTTTTGAAAAATCACTGAGGATTTTTTTGGTATCAAATACTAATGAGAGAGAGAGAGAGAGAGAGTAAATTACCAGTCGAATTCACCGGAGGCCGAGGCCGAGGCCGGACGAGAGAAGCTAAGCGTCAGATGAAGGCGAATCCCAAGCGTCCAGGAGTTTTTGGGCTGAGCCTAATAAATCAAAAGAATTTGATTTGTGCAGAATGCGATTTATTAATTCGAAAGTGGGATACACCGGTAGAAAATTTCTATATTTTTTTTATATAAGTTGCATTAGAAAAATACGATTTGTAAGTTCCATTAGAAGAATGTGATATAAGTCCCATTCGCGATATGCCATTAAAAACGCAATTTATAGTGAATGTAAAAGAAATGGAAAACTGATTTATTCAACTTATCAATTACAGGATTAGTTTTACGTTGGTTATGCTTTAAAATAAGATATTTAATTTCTCTTTTATATTATAGTTTATTTCTTTCAAATTAACATCATAACTAATGAAAGATATCCCCAAAATAGTGACCACTCTCCTAATTCATGATGTTCTAATTTCTCTAATTATGGATGCGAAATACTTTTAAAATAAGATTGAAGATTTTCTTAGAAAAGTCAAAATTGTATAAAGACAAATTCAATAATATCAATATTTATTAAATCACCACTGAAATGGAATTTTCTTTTCAACTATGAAAATAGAAGGTATATTCAAACCGATTTGATAGTTTAAGATGTTAATTAATTTTTTATCCTTCGTAAATGCAGTGCATGCTTAATAAAATTGTAATTAGAAGTAACTTTTAAAAACGTCATTGTTTCCTTGTACTTTTTTTTTACCTTTTTAATTTGTAATACAGCTTCATCATTTCCTTATTTAGTGACATTAATTCTACACTAAATCTTATTTACAAGTTTCTATATTTTTAATTCAATATCTTAGGGTACAATTAGTTTATGGTTCTCCAACAGTACCTTTTATTTATCACCATAAAATTATCTTCCTTGTTAAAGAGTTTCAATTAATTGTTAAAAACCACATTATTTTCTTGTATTCATTATTTGATATTTTTAATTGCAAAATATTTCATTACTCCATTTGATTGCAGTGTGTTAAAAATACAGCTTTGTGAATTGGTGTCACGCTAGATTTCAATTTCAATAAGTGTATAATGAATTATGAAAGCGGATGTGTTTTTAACTTTTAATGCCATAAATAGGAATTAAAGTTGCTTCTTTTTTCTTTTGGATTGAGATCTCCAATATATACGAAAATTGCCAGAGGAGAATTGAACATCATCATCCAAAACTTGCACCAAATTTAGGAGTCATTTAATTTCCTCAATTCAAGATTGAGAAATGCCTCACAAACACCTCTAATTGATTAGTTAGGAGATTAGTTATCCCACTTTCTTACAAGGATAAAAAAACACTACAATCCCGGGACCCGGATTAGTTATATCACGATTTTATCCCAACCAAACATGAGATAAACTCATCTCAAATTTAATCTCAAAAATAATTATCCCTTATCCCTTATCCCTCATATCAAACAAGCTAAAGGTTGTGACAGAATGCTAAGTATTCTCTCATCTTTAATAAGCTATTTAGAATTCGAGCCCTGAACATAAAAAATCACTCTTGATGGAGAGCGGCTTCAACCCCAAATTTTTTGATGCAAATCTGGATTAGTCGAGCCCCAAACAAATAATGACACCAAGTTGAAAATCATCAAAGAGACAGAGAAATGCCTCACAAACTATCTATAAACTTGTTCAAATTATAATGTGAGGAACCTCCTTCTTTCACAGCTTCCATAGCCAAATCTCCATATTTCTTCACATTCCTTCTTATTTCATTCCCTTTCTCTCCACCCCCCATTAAAATTTCCAAACACCTTTTTAACTCTTCTCTTTTGACAATTCCTTCCTCTGGTCTTGCTCTCACACCTGTTCCCCAAACTTCCTCCACCATCTTAATGTTTGTCACTTGGTCTGAGAACTGTGGGTACCCAATTAGCGGCACACCCGCTGCTATACTTTCTAGAGTCGAATTCCATCCACAATGACTCATGAAACATCCGATTGACTTATGAAAAAGTACCTGTTGAAAATATATCATTAATTAAGTTAATAACCGAATACGTTCACTAACTGTTTAAACTTTTAGGTAAGATAATCATATAATTTATTATTAATCCCCCAGTCCTATATGACACTTTTTGTTTTTCAAGATTCAAATTTCTTAATTTTGACTGTGCATTTAGACATAGTGGATGTGTTTGGTATGAAAGAAAATGTTTTCCATGAAAAATGTTTTCCTAGAAAATATTTCATGGAAAATTGAGTGGTTTTATCATTTATTTTCCCTTGTTTGGTTGGTGAGTGAAAACCTTTTTCCGAAAAATATGTTTTAGTGTGGTTAGAGAGTAGAAAATATTTTTTAGGAAAATAATTTTTATGTTACTCTCCTCCCTCTCCCCCCCCCCCCCCCCAAATACCCAACATTTCATGACTCTATTTTCTAACAAGAATTTAATTATTCTTCTAGAAATTCATAACAAATGCAAAGGAACTTTATGTGTTGCTTTACTTTTTACGCAAAAATAACGTTGAAATTCGTGCTACATAACTAAAAAAATACTCTTTTTTTGGTTAAAAAAGAAAGTATTATTTCTACAACATGAAAATAAAATACTCATTTTGTTGAAATGAAAAAAGTTACTTTTCTGCATCATAAAAAGTAAATACTCTTTTTGTTGAAATAAAAGAAAATAATTTTTACTACATCATTTTATTGAAATGGAAGAAAATATTTTTTCTACATCATGGAAAGAAAGTACTTTTTTTGTTAAAATGAAAAAGAAATTATATCGCGAAAAGAATACTCATTTGTTGAAATGAAAAAAGAAAATACTCTATCTATAACATGAAAAAAAAAGTACTATTAATAATAGTTTCTAGTTTAGGGTGGGATGTGGGTGGGTGGGGTGGGGGTGGGTGGGTGGGTGTGGGGGTTAGTGGGGATGAGGAAGGTTGGAAAAGAGTTTTGGAAAATATTTTCCCTTCTCTTGATAGGGAAAGTTGATGAGGAAAATATTTTTCAATATATTTAAGCCAACCAAACATGAGAAAATTGAAAATATTTTCTAAAAAATGTTTTCCTTCATACCAAACACACCCAAGAAAAATACTCTATCTTTAACATGAAAAAAAAAATACTATTAATAATATTTCTATCTAGGGTGGGGTGTGGGTGGGGGTGGAGGTGGGGTGGGTGGAGTTGGAGTGGGGTGGGGTGTGGGGGTGGGTTGGTGGGGGTTAGTGGGGATGGGAAATGGGAGGAGGTTGGAAAAGAGTTTAGAAAAATGTTTTCCCTTTTCGTGATGGGGAAAATATTTTTCTCCAATTGCAGGAAAATGAGTTGATGAGGAAAATATTTTCCAAAACATTTAGCCAATCAAACATGAGAAAATTGAAAAATATTTTCCTTCGTACCAAACACACCCTGAATCTTTTAGTTTTTCAAAATATTATTTACATATTTAAAAACTACGTAAAAAGTAGTATAAGTCGCATTAATTAAAATTTTAAAATATCTAAAAAGTATATGAAAAAACTATGGTAAAAAAGCAATTCATTTGACTCTCGAAATTACGGTCCCATAAGTTAGGACGAAGGGAGTATAACAATAAACCTACAAATATTTTTGTGCCACATAAAAGTCATTAAACTTGATTCGTTATAATAGTAAAGTCGTGAAATAATCTTTTTACTCGTTAAAATAACCGAACTTAACCACAATAATAGTAACGTCATTAAACTATATTCATTATAATGATAAATTTACTTATCAAGGTAACTTACTATTATAGCGGATAAAATTTACTGTTAGGGATCGTTTGGAACGCGGACTAAATTACACTAGAATTATAATCCTGGGATTATAATCCCTAGGCTAATTTATCCCACATGAAGTGTGGGATAAAATAATACCAAGTTTAACAAAATAAGGTGGTATATAAAGGGATATCCAAGATTAAGTTTAGGACTAAGTTTATATTATGTTTGGTTGACGTAATGTCTACTAAACATAGTATAAACTTAGTATTACACTTTATTCCACCTTATTCCGAGTACCAAACGACCCCTTATAGTATATAAAATACAGATACTTTAATATGACAAAAAAAATTTTATGTTAAAATTAGTACCTCCATTTGTGAACACCAAGGGACAATCATCCCTTTTCCATTCAAGCCATAATTTTCATTCTTGATCTTATCATCTTTATTGCTTGTTCGAATTACCCACAAAAATGGCCTTTCACTTTCCAATAAACCCTTCAAAATCTCTTCCTTTTGCTCCTCTTTTAACACAGCTAAACTCCCAAATGATATATAAACAACTGAACCCTCAGCTTTTGAATCCAACCACTGTGAATAATTTTCAGATTTATCAAACAGTTCGCATCCAAAAGACTTGTCATTAACATCATTTCCGTCGCAAAAAGCTGAAGGAATCAAAGGACCAATTGAACTTACCCCAATTTTCTCAAAAATTTTCAGTGATTTCTCCTCTAATGCGTCGAAAGTGTTGATTAAAACACGAGGATTTGGATCATTTTCGAGAATTTTTATGTGTTCTCTCATTACAGGGATCATAAATGAAGAAGCCGAATCACTCTGTAACAGGAACGTAGGAATATCATCGCGAGAAAATAGTGGCGATTCCGGTAATTTTATTGGAAATGAGGGCTCAATTTCAGTAGTAGAGCTGTAAATTCCGTTATTGGTGGTGAACAAATGGTAATAAATGGCAAACGCAGCAGCACATTGAATGGCCAGAAAAGCAGACGGCGCGTGATATTCACGCGCCACTTCCGCAACCCAAGTGAAGAGAATTGTGTACACTAAACAAGTAACTGGATAGCCGTCGTCGGTAAATTTCTGAAGAAGGTTTTTGAGGTTTTCCGATCCCACGCGCTTTAAATCGTTTAAATAGTCACCGAAGTACATTTCTTTGGGCTTGCCGTCGTCGTGGCCGTCGGAGATGGAGGCGTAGAATAGTCCGTCGATGGACGGTAGGTTGTTCATTTTGCGGAAGCCGTGGACGGTTGTGACGAAGGTGCAACGAGCACCGGCGCGTGCGAGGTTTTTGGCGAGCTGGAGAGTGGGATTTATGTGGCCTTGCGCTGGTAAAGAGATGATAAGGAAATGGTGTTTCTTCATTATTTTGACTAATATTGGAGAAAACAATCATGGCACTATAGAATTTTTAATGGAAGATTGGACTTAAAAGGTGAGTCTCAAGTTGAACTCCATGATTATAATATTCAATAATAATCATTGATATATTTTGACGGTTGCAATGCTTATGAAAAATAAATTTATATAATTATTATATATAAAAATATGCTAAAGAATAAAATAAGATTAGTTAATAGTAATAAGGAAGGACAAGATGAAAAAAAATAAAATAACGATGTGAAGTTATCCAAACATTGTCAATTGTCCTTTTGGTTTTTTAAAAATAACGTTTTTGAAAAAGTTGAAGAAGAAAATGTGTCTGAATAGGAAAACATAGTTAGCTTCTTAAAGCAAACTAAAACGTTGTTAAATATTAAGTGTGTTTGGTATAATGGAAAATATTTTTCGTGGAAAATATTTTTCAAAAAAATATTGTCTTGGAAAACAAGTAGTAATCTTATTCATTTTCCGATGTTTGGTACGCAAATTAAGGAAAATGACTTTTACGAGTATTCATAAATAGTTTAGATGTAATAAATATGAAGCCATAAACTTTCAAACCAACGACCTTCCGAAACCACAAATTTCATAAACTTTCAAACGCTAAACTTTCGAAATCGCAGAATTTCGAACCCGTAAACTTTATAATTTCTAAACCCGTAAACTTTCAAACACATAAACCTTCGAACTCATAACTTTGGAACTTGTAAAATTTTGAACCTTTAAATCGATAAATAAAAAAAATAAAACAGAAAAATATATTTAAAAATATTTTTCTGGGGGGGGGGGGGGTAAAGGGAGGGAGGAGGAGGGCAGAAAACGAAAAAAACTAAGAAATTTAGTAANCTCCACTAATGGGATTATATGCTGCTTGTTTTACCTTTTTGTCCTCTTCTTAGACTAAGGATGTCTTTCCATGTATTTTAATCTTTCTTTTTGGGTGGGCTGGAGGGGTAGTAGGGTGGGTGGTAACGGAAAAAGTGAAATTTGGAAAAAAAAAAAGTCTTTTTTGGAGAGAGATGTGGGTTGGGGAAGGTTGTGAAGGAGTTTTGAAAAATGTTTTCCTTTCTCTTGATGAGGAAATTGGAGGAAAATGAGTTCATAAGAAAAATATTTTCCAAAACATTTATGCAAACCAAACATGGAAAAATTGGAAAATATTTTCCTTCATACCAAACACACCCTATATCGCCACTAGAAACCCGTTAATGAAATAGAAAATATGCTGCCATGTGATCAAATCATTATCTGCACTCCCGGTATTTAAACTAGGGAAAAGGCCTAAATATGCCATTGTACTTAACAAAATGGCCTATCTATACCACTCATTAATAGTTGGGCCTACTGGTGCCATGGACGTTACAACATTGGCCTATTTGTGCCACTATTATTAACAGACACTCATCATGTATTAAATAAAATAAAAATTTGATTTTTAATACTAGTTTTGACACGTGTCAACTACCTAGACCACCACATAACCTGACCCCACTTCCCACTCTAACCCCAATTACCCAACTGACCCAATCCCATTTTTTTGTTACCCGATATTAATTCCCCCCAAAAGGAGGAAGTGCACTGTTAGCCACTAATAACGCATGTATTTACTTTTAATCCATTGTTTAAAATGTCTTTACTCTTTAGCCACTGCTTTAATAAACTTTACCTGCCCAGACGAAAACACCCTTCTGCTCGTAAAGTTCAGGACAAGTGTCCTTAACTTTTGAAATTGTAACTCTAAGTTCAGGACTACATCTCCTTAACTTTTGAAATTGGAACTCGAAGTTCAGGATCACCTGTCTTTAATTTCTGTGCTTGTAACTCTAAGTTAAGGACTACTTTTCCTTAACTTTTGAACTTGTAAGTCTAAGTTAGGACATATTGTCCTTAACTTTTGAGCTTGTTAGTCTAAGTTCAGGACCAAGTGTCCTTAACTTTTGAACTTGTAACTGTAAGTTCAGGACCAAGTGTCCTTAACTTTTGAGCTTGTTAATCTAAGTTCAGGACCTATTGTCCTTAACTTTTGAGCTTGTTAGTCTCAGTTCAAGACCTATTGTCCTTAACTTTTGAGCTTGTTAGTCTAAGTTCAGGACCTATTGTCCTTAACTTTTGAACTTGTAACTGTAAGTTCAGGACCTATTGTCCTTAACTTTTGAGCTTGTTAGTCTAAGTTCATGACCAAGTGTCCTTAACTTTTGAACTTGTAACTCTAAGTTCAGGACCAAGTGTCCTTAACTTTTGAGCTTGTTAGTCTAAGTTCAGGACCTATTGTCCTTAACTTTTGAACGTGTAACTGTAAGTTCTGGATCCATAACGTAGCAAAAAACCAAAAAATACATCACAGAAATCACAAACCGAAATACATCTACCACTATAATTGCATACGATCAAAGATCACGACTAGTCTAATTAGTAACAAAACTAGCACGTTAATCTTTGAACAATCATAGTGCTTATTCAAGAGTTTCTTAAATTAAGTTTATATATATAACATATAGTAACATTCTTAGCATGGCCAGGTATAGAAACAACGGCGGCGGAGTCCACGGCAGTCGCCACCGAAAAATCCTTCCGTCTCACAGACGGCGGCACAGTTCTTCTCCCTAACATATGAAAGAGATGGAAGAAGGGTAACACAGTCTTTTCATATTAATTTTAATAGACTAGCGGCTACTATTATTAAGCATTAAAAATGCTGGACAAAAAATAAATACCACTTTAAAAAGTGATTACCCCACACAATTTTTACTATTGATTATTTGTCCCGGCAAAAGACAAAAAAATAAGGATAGGAGGATATGACTTGGAGATATATTTCAAATCTTCTAAAGCCTTCTGATCAGTTAATAAATAAAACCCAAAGTATCTCCAACCACAATTTCCATCTGTGCAATTCTAGCCACCCACGTAGGATTGACTTGATATAGAAATTCACAAAAAAGTGGATTACTATTTATCTAAACTAATGGCTAACTAATGCAGCAAAGGCCTCGAGTACAAATATGATTAGCTACGCTTTTGATTCCCTTGCATCATCTTCCAAGGCTAACACATCATCTTCTAAGGCTTATCCTGCAAAATCATTCAGATTAGTGAAAAAACAAAAAGAAAAGAAAAATAACAATATGGGACTTACCACTTGAAAAAGCGAGCAGTGAACCCTAAAGTAATGATCAAAACTGAAATTTGATACAGTAATAAAAAAAACACATATCAGAAAAGGTCCATCAGTCCAAAACAGTAAAAATAGTGACTGCAAAATCTTACGTTTTGTTTTCATGCCCTTGCATATTCTGAATCGTTAATTCCTTCAACTTAAAGAAAAGTTGATTATAGGAACATCCAAGCAAATAAGGGAACAACTCCATAACTTCTCGTGAAGCCTTATCAGCAGAACGACTGCCTTTGTAATTGTCACGCCCCAACCTGGGGAGGCGTGGCTGGCACTTGGCGTCGTACTAGTCCGAGCGAACCGCTCTAACTCATTTTTTTTCTTCTTATGTAACTATCATGGGCCAACATGGCCACAACTCATAATGTACAACGGTAGGTTGGAAATACTGTATCACTGAACCATTTTTCTTAAAACATGAATACATGTAGGCCGTCAAGGCCTCAGACATACTATACAAAATGAACCCCTGTCTACAACGCCTCTAAGATTACTTGACATCAAATAGGATAGGTTACCGGCTTACCCATAAGTCTTTAGCAAAACTCTGACACGATGACTCATAGACTCGGCTGCACTCCGAATGAGGTGGAGTCTTACCGATTCTTTGCTGAATGCCAATCTCGTCTACTATGAGGGCTCGTCAAACGGATTATCTATACCTGCAGGCATTAATGCAGCGTCCCCAACAAAAGGACGTCAGTATGAACAGGATATATACAACAGTCATTCCACTGTGTCACACTACCACGGACTTATATACCTTCCCACCCCTACTGAGAAATAGAACTGAGTAATCCTACATCAAATGGCCGAGAAATTTTGCACCACTAATCTTGAATAACTTGGACCGCCCCCTCCAAGCGAAAGTTTTGCACTCAGATGAAAGAAAAATACATATTAGCATCCTTCAGCTAAGTGTAGAATTACTTATGGAATAGTATTACGTTTACGTATCGTTACTTGGATCATGCTAAAAGAAAGAAGGATTAGCCTTAACATACCTGAACCGGTTCTGTGGACAATCCCTCTAACACACGACAATTGCAACAAACACGTGACGGCAAGATCGGAATAGGAAAAATCCGTATGATATTCTTGAAAACGATTACACCATACTTCCTTAAAATTGCATTGACGATGTTACAAGAGTAGAATAGGCTTCTTGTTGCTTGTCTTGGATGTTCCTTTGTGAATCATGCCCATATATGTGAATAGTTGCAAAAGAAAAATATGAAAAACCAAAAGATAAAACTATACTTAGTTGTCTAAATCTTTCCATGCTATTTTGAAACGTGAAAATGGTTGAGTTGAAAACGCTTACTTAGTTGTCTAAAGTTCTTGTTCATGCATGAACCCCACTTATAATTTTAATGCTTAGCAAGCCTTTCCAAAATGTGACACCACAGTAGAATTCACACATTAGTCATACACTACTTTACTTGTCTTGGTCCCACGTGGACAAGACAATTCTTATACTTATCCTCCAATTATTCGCATAATTAAGAATTATTTCAAATTACTTAAAATACTACTCACTTTTAACACACACTATATAATTTACTATCATGGTCATGTGGTATCATACAAAATAAATACATACACTATTATTCATAAAAATATCCATGTAAAAATACATATATATATTTTCTCAACTTTTAATTTTCTTAGTCTCATATGAAGAGTAAAAATTTTTGTACACTTAATTCTTAAACTGGTAAAAAAAAAAGATAACCTTCTTTTCTTGTGAAAAAATAATTCATATCTATACAATAAAGAAAATCTCATAAATATTTCTCATATTATGTGTATAATTTAAAACATATTCGAAAGTAGTAATATTAATAACTATATAAAATCATATATTTCTTTTTCAAACCATTTTTTTCTTTACAAAAATATTCCACTCAAAAAACCATATCAAATATATATATATAACGGTATTAAAATTGTTAAACTTACAGGGTGTAACAATAATGTCCCTAATATTTCCTTAAAAATCGTATGATTCCAAAGGCCATCTTATATAGTTCCTTTGTAATCTTATGATTCTTATAGATCAGGTAGCTATACAGGTCCTTTTGTCGGTCACGTGATACCCTTTGTTTCCAATCATAAAAGTGTCGTTTAAGGAAGCGATAACGCTTAAGCTTCTCACTATTTGGAACTAGCAAATCATTAAAAGCGTCAAAAAATAGGCCAACTTTAACATGATTCCACAAATAACTAGCGTTGTATATCCAGCTAGATACGTTAGCAACAAATTCTCTGAGACAGTCAAATATAAAAAATTACGTCCTTAACAAAAAGCTAATAATAAATATACCAAAAAATGAAATACCTATGGTTAGCATATTTTTTATTATTCTCGAAGGTAAACAATTGATGAAACAATGTATAGTCATTCATCGAGACATGTCCAAAAGGACGATTCGGCCTATGCTTCTTATAGGCTAGAGAAACCAGCCTTCCAAAATCTTCAACATCATCAATTAACCCAGCTAGTTTTTCTGTATTGACTATTGAGAACAATTTTCATCAAAAACCTATAGTTATAGTCAAATTAAAGTAAAAAAAATATAATGATTACTAAAGCTACTCACTACTATCCTCATCGACTTTGAGTCGTTTTGCCTCACCGCCACTAGTTTCATCAATAGGTTTATCGTCATACCGAAAATTGCACACCCTAAGGCTACCGTACCATAACTCCATTAACGCCTTCGGCATACACCTTGGCATCCACATCCATAATGGTGTCGTCACGTTTATTCCTCCTATTCTTTTTCTTTCCCCTCTTGACCAACTTGACCAAATTACCATGGACGATCCCGACGGAATTTATTGACTCCATTCCAAGACCTATCTGACTGAACTCCTAAAATAAAAAGAGTCAAAAGAAATGTAAAGAACAACAATCCATTTAGTATGTAGGTAAAAAAAAAAATTTAAAAAAAATTCTTAACTGAAACATTTCCTGTGCTTCCTGTCCGAATCCCATAGTAGTTTTTCCTTCATCATCCTCCAACCACATCTTCTTCTTTTTGTTCTTAAGCCAGGTGTTGAATCTCCGGAGTGGCTCGGTAAAAACAAGGTCGTCGTCGGTTTTTTCATCCACCACCAAATTGTAACCAACGGCTACACCTTCCGTTAGCCAGGTGGAGATCTCTCAGGTAGCTAGCCGCCGCTTTCATGGTACGAAAGCATCTAATAGAAACATCGGTGACGACGCCACCGGACCCCAGCTTCCCTCGTATACATCACCTTGAATACGTCTTCCAATTGTATAATGCTGCTGAAAAGTTCTACTTGCCATGTCCAATTCTCGAGAAGCAGCGGAAAGGTGTTGTTAATGTCCAAGTCTAGAGAAGCGGCGGAAAGGTGATGTTAAACCACTAGGGTTGGGAAATGGGTAAATATAATTTACTCTCAAATTTGAACCTTATCCTATACAATCGCCATCTTGCTCTTGCCATGCCATTTTTAATTCCCTCTTCTATAGAATACAATTTTATTGTATGATATTTTTTATTGTTTTACCTATTATTTTAATTTTAGTTTATTAAAACAATAAATAGAATATTATTTTTATAATTTAATTTATCTTTTTACGACTTTTATTATTATTATATATATATATATATATATATATATATATATATATATATATATATATATATATATATATATNATATATATATATATATATATGTATTTGAGTTATAAATTAAAAAATTAAATACCTTATCTAGGATTTGAACTTGTGACCCAATATAATTTCTGAACCTTCTTTACCAATATTATGATATCTTCTCTTCTGTCAAGAGAATTCAACAATTTATATATAACTAAAATGTTCGTTTTTCCCTATTGTACGGTCTAGTTTTGTGACGAATGGGGTTCAACTAAACCATCTTACCTCCATGTTGTTTGTCACGATCCAAATCCTAACATGTCGTGATAGCACCTATCGGTGGTACTAGACAAGCCGGCGTTTCCAAAACACTTTTAATATTTAACAGAAAATGAATCGAGATACTTTAAATATCAAAGTTTTCATAAACAAGGGTAAAACCCAAAATACAAGTGCGGAAATAGCTTCCAATATTGGGGTGTCACTTAGCCCATAAGCATCTATACGTAATCAGTCCAGAAATGAAACGTCTATAACAGTTTGGATCCAAATACAACGAAAGAAAAGGTAAGGAAGTAGAAAATAATGGTTGGGATGCCAGGCAGCTACCTTGATATCTCCAACTGTCAGCTACGTGAAATATCAAAAACCTCCGCATCCAGAAACTCTTGGATCTGCACACGAAGTGCAGGGTGTAGTGTCAGTACAACTATCTCAGTAAGTAACAATAGTACGTAAGGAACTGAAAGATAGTGATGAGCTACACAGTTGTGGTTTAATTTCAGTAGTATCAACAAGGAAAAATAGACATGCTTTCAAATCCAGCAAAATTTAGTCAAATCAGTTTATACATGCCAAGCTCAAGTAAAATTTGATAAAGTATCTTTCATAAGTTTTTGAAACAGTTATATATGGAACTATGTGCAACAGCAATGAAATCATATACAACCTCTCAGGTCAACAATCACTCAGTCCTCCCATTCACTCCAACCTTACAATCACTCATTCTTCACAGCCACTCATTCCTCATGGTCTCTCAGCACTCGGCACTCGGCACTCGGTACTTACATTCAGTAGGTACCTGCGCTCACTGGGGGTGTGTACAGACTCCGGAGGGGCTCCTACAGCTCAAGCGTTATATCAAGCTGATCATGGCATGAATCAATTAAACATGTTGCGACGTGCAGTTCGATCCCATAAATATCCTCACAATCAGGCCCTTGGTCTCACTCTGTCATTAATCTCTCCAGTATCTCGGGCTCTTAGAAATTAGAAAAATAGCCCAAACAACAATAATATGATGAATCAACAAGAATAATAGAGACTGAGATATGATATGCGAGTAATGAATGAGACTGAGTACAAATAACATTTAGCAGGTAATTCAACATGTAACACGGCCTATGTGGGTCCCAACAGTACCAACACATAGCCTAAACATGATTTCTAACATAATTTACAATCAAATTTCTATAACTCATGGAGAGCGTATAGCTAACAACAAGTTTATTCAACTTTACAGTTTTACAGAATGGACCAAGTCTCAATTCCCACAGTACACACCCACATGTCCGTCACCTAGTGTGTCACCTAGAAAACAATCACATAACACAAAAATCAGGGGTTTCATACCCTCATGACCAGATTTAGAAGTGCTACTTACCTCAATCCGAGTAAATTTCTACTTCAACACACCTTTGCCTCGCAAATCGGTCTCTGAATGTCTCAAATCCAGCCACAAACAATTCGATACAATCAACACGAACCAACGGAACCAATTCCATAAGAAAATACTAAGCTTTAAGTTAAAAGTCAAAAAGTCAACTCAAAAGTTGGGCCCCGAGGTAAAAGTCATAAAATCCGAATACCCATTCGATAACGAGTTCAACCATACCAAAATTAGTCAAAACCGGTCACAACTTGACCTTTAAATCCCCAAATTATAGTTTATGAAGTTTCTACAATTTTTCCCAAATTTCCATCTCAAAGTACTAATTAAATGATGAAACCAATAATTTATTCATGTATATTAACCTAATCCGAGTTAGAATCACTTACCCCGATGATTTTATTGAAAACCCCCCAAAACATCGCTACAAACCGAGCTCCCAGAGTCCAAATGTGAAAGAATACCCTAACTCTCATTCATATAGTACATTGTCTGCCCTCCAAAGTGCTGACCGCATATTGTTTGGTGTGGTCGAACATCCCAGGTCCTGAGGCCACAATCCTAATTGAGAGGCCACACTTCAGCAAAATCTGCACTACCAGGCCGCGATCCAATGATTGCTTTATCTTTCTGGAAACTAGACACAAGGGCTACCACTTTCGTTTTAGGATCATCTCCAAATTCCTTATAGATTAAAAGATATAAGCTTCTGAAGCCAGACCATCGAACCTGCAGAATCTCCGATCTACGGCCACGAGAAGAATTGTGCGGTCCGCACTTTTCCTCCCAGGTCCACACTTGAGGCTTTGCCTCAGCACTCCAAAATATGCCCCTACACTTCCAAAGGTACCAGATGTAACGACCCGGCCGGTCGTTTCATGAGTTACCACTCTGATTCCCCCATTTCTGCTTCTTTTTGTGTTGATTCTGTTTCATTTCATTGTATCATGTCGGTTTGTTCGAGTTTGGGCTAGTTTTGGAGTGTTATGAGACACTTAGTCTCTTAAGTTGGCCATTTAGTTGGAAAAGTCAACCGGAAGTTGACTTGTGTAAAAACGATCTCGGAATTTGGTTTTTATGATTCGGATAGTTTCATGAGGTGATTTGGGACTTAGGAGAATGATCAGAATATTTTTCGGAGGTCCGTGGTAGATTTAGGCTTTAATTGGCGAAATTGAAATTTTGGTATTTTTCGGTTGGTAGTGGAGATTTTGATATCGGGGTCCGGATGGTATTCCGGAAGTTGTAGTAGGTCCGTTGTATCATTTGTGACGTGTGTGCAAAATTTCAGGTCATTCGGACGAGGTTTGATAGACTTTTTTATCGAAAGCGGAATTTGGAAGTTTTGGAAACCTTAGGCTTGAATCTGAGGGTGTTTTGATGATTCGATATTGTTTTGAGTGTTCCAAAGGTTGGTATATGTTTGAATTGTGTTATGTGACTTGTTCGTACTTTTGGTTAAGGTCCCGGGGGCCTCGGGGTGATTTCGGATGGTTATCGGGAAGTTGGAAGTTTGAGTTTGCAGCTAAAGCTGCTGAATTACTGTCATAACCGCACCTACGGATTCGGGACTGCAGGTGCGAGATTGCAGAAGCGTGTGGGAAGCCGCAGATGCAACCAAGAGCAAGAAGTCCAGAAGTCGCAGGTGCGGAAGGTCACCTGCGAGACCGCAGGTGCGGATATTGAGGCGCATGTGCGGCTCCAGTGCAATAAGTGAAAACTGCATAAGTGGTTAGTTGACCGCAGAAGTGGGAAAAGGACCGCAGGTGTGGAATCCCTGGGTCAGAAAGTATATAAGCTTTCCTTCGCGAATTTTTGCTAAGTTCTCCATTTTTGAAGACGGGAAGTGAGCTAGGGCAGTGATTCTTCAAAGTAAATCGAAGGTTATCAGTTGGGTAAGCCACTTAAGCTTCATTACTTGTGTTTATGGCCATTTTTCCATTGTTTAATCATGGTATTAGTGGAAATTAGGGAAGAAAATTGAGGGATTAGGGCTTGAAATCGGAGACTTTGATTTGAGGATTTGAGGTGTCGTTTGTGGTCGGATTTTGATGATCTTGGTATGTGTGGACTCATGGGAGGATAAGGATTCTATTGATGTGACTTTTATCAAATTCCGAGACGTGGGCCCGGGGGTCGGGTTTGGCCAAATTCGGGATTCTTGATGTAATTTGATTATTTTCGCATGGGCTTCGTTCCCTTAGCATATATTGATGTTATGATTCTGTTTTTGGATAGATTCGACGCGAGTTGAGGCCGAGTTGAGAGGCAAGGGCGTTGCGGAGTAGTATTTCATCCGGTTGAAGTAAGTAACGATTGTAAATCTAGACCTGAGGGCATGAAACCCCGAAATTTTGTACTGTTTGATAAATGAGGTGACGCACATGCTAGGTGACGAGCGTGTGGGCGTGCACCCGTAGGGATTGTGACTTGGTCCGTCCCATGGCGACTGTATAGTTGCATATTTTGATACATTGTATATGATATCCACGCGTTTTAGAAATTGGTTTGTTAACTTGGGCTGAATTCCATGTTTGGGGCCTTTGTACCGACCTGTTTAGACCCTTAGGGGTATTTTTGCTATTTTCCTAACTCTACCTGATTTGAAAGCATATCCTCAGTCATGTTTTACCTGCTTATTGTTTAATCCGGTTTCATTACTCTACTTCTTAATATTTGAAAAACTGTTTGGGCTGAGCTCCTTGAGTTTCACCGATATGCCCGAGTGGCCGTGAGGTTAATGACTGAGAGAGGTTGAGGACCTGATGGTAAGGATTATATATATGTTATGGATCGGGCTGCAGGCCGCAGCGATATTATATATATGGATCGGGTTGCACGCCGCAGCGATATACATATGGATCGGGCTGCACGCCGCAGCAATATATATTGGATCGGGCTGAGCGCAGCGATATGACGCTTGGGCTGTAGGAGCCCGTCCGGAGTCTGCACACCCCCAATGAGCGTAGTCGGCTATATATTACGGATCGGGCTGCACGCCGCAGCGATTATTATTATTATTATGAGATATTTATTGAGCCGGAGTGCTGAGTGTGAGTACTGTGTGACGAGAGCTGAGTCACGAGTGACTGAGAGGCTTACCCGAGAGGCTATACTTATGAGTGATACTTGGCCCGAGGGCTTATTTATGACATTTTTG